GCCTTTCAGGTATGCACAATACACGCACACCTCACCTGACCACTGAGAGACCGATGGACCCAGAAATCAAACAAACCTAATGAAGCGGACTTCGACAACCTTTGTCTATCGACCCGAAATGTGGTATAACGCTCATTAAAGCAGTATATCAAAAGCTGTACGTGGTTCTTTAGCTTATACACGAGATAACACCATACCTACAATCGCTTACCATCACTCAGTATCTTATAAGATCTTGGCTTTGCTGGAAGCCTGATGACAGATTCCCTCCGGCAAAAACAACATCCGACGCCAGGAATACCCAGGGTCCGCGCAGACCACCACGCTTGGTCGTTCTAGAATATGGAAGAAACGGATACATAAAAAAGCAGCGGAAATGCTCGCAGGTTGCTTCACTCGATTTGTATGACCACCACTTCACCATATCTAGTTATACCCCGTATACCAGCAAAGTGCAGTCATGCTTCAAGGAGAAGCATCAGTATTTGCGGAGATTTTCACAAAATTCGGTAGTTGTGTTAGTTCTGAAACAAGTGTACCTGATGAAATAGGTGCCAGGGTCACAAAGGACCGAATTATATCTGCCAGTTGGCGTCACCGGTAGCATCGAAAAGGCATACCATTGGGCCTCAAGGGTCACGTGTACCAAGCTAGATTAAGGGCTGCGTTGTTGTATGGTTGCGGAGCGTCGTCTCTGACGACAAATGGTGTAGATGTCCCCAGGCCATCAAGGTCTCAAAAACGCTGTTTGCGTCAGAAAACGTCAAATGAATTGTAAACAGGCAAGTAAAAAGTGGGTGCTTCTTCAGGAACATCAGCTCCTGGTCATGTTGTGCATATGCCAAGACATCGTTTACCGAGAAGAGTATCTTTCTCTGAGCCCCATTTATAACAGTGTAAACTGCGAGGTTAAAAACGAGTGAAATCGAGAAAGGGTGTGAAAGAGACTACGAAGAGTTCGAATGCTGTGGTGCGGTCCGTCTTCCAGTATGTGGACTCCGTGAGTCTCCCTGCTCTTCGCTGGAGACAATTAAAGAAATGGCAGCTAATCGATGTCAGATTCTTTCCGGATATCATGCGTAAGCCTTTCGATGTGTAGCACCTCAGAATGCTTACAGTAGGCTAGCATCAAATCTTTCTCCGTCCAGTATGTTCTTTTTCAGGCCTTGAGTTTAGTTAATCAAACGTGACATACTACTTATAAGGTTGCTGAAAACTCCGACAGTCCCCGAAGAGCACCATACACAAGAGATTGATTCTGGTCTCACGTGAAAACCAATTTGATATGCAAATGAGTGTAGTTCGCTAACTTCGTGCAATTCGGTTCAAGTATAATGTAAGGTTGAGGGAAACCTGGGAACTACGCCCGCCTGATGAGCTCTAAGAAGAGCGAAACTGGTCGTGGGCTGTCGGAAAAATATCTCGCACTATTTTGGCGGAGGGGAAAACTGAGTTCGACATTGTAAATCTCGCACTACTGAGGTCTTCTCGCGGGTAGTATATGTGCGACGTGCTAAGTCATTTTCAACAGTTTGAATATTTTTTTCAAACCGTCTAAAAAGTCAATGGAATTACCATGACTGCGCAGTTTGAAACTCATTTGATTAGGGCTTCTTGACGGATACACTCAAGCTGAGCATTCCACACACTAAATTCTAGTGCAATTCATGTACGATCAACACCCCCCTGCAGGATAGCCATCTAAAATCTGCCGTTAGAGAGCAACAAGATGCGGTATTCTTCTGGGAGGGGACAAATTATCTCATGAACTGAGCGTTTGCCTTGCTGTATATAACGCCTCTGTATTGTCGCCCGGTATATTCTACAAACCTCTTCCTGGATTGGTTACAGTGAGTGGTGCATCTGACAGCGAAGACTGATGTGGACTGAAGCATCGATCGAAATAGTCAATCCATCTGGCCACTGGAATGACATTTGTAGCTGTCCCTAGTTTAAACCATCGCCTCACCAGGTTTTATTGGGACCATTCATGTTGGTTTTTAATTCGCCTGTGCTCCTGACTGTCAAACCAGTTGAGATAGCCCATACTATCTTGTCCTTTTCATCCTCCTGGGTGAAATTATACGCCTCACGCACAATGTACTGCTCAGGCCTAGATGAGAAACAGAAAGCACAATTTCTTTTCGGTTGAGATTTCGTCCTCTCGTGGAGGTCCATATATGTTGACAAGCCGAGAAGTAATGTACAACTGTCTCACTCCTACTGGGAGTCGTCAAAAATGTTCACCTCACGAAACACAATGGAGTTTCGAACCCACGAACTTCCAGTCAGTGTTTGGATACTACATTTCAGACTTAAGCGGTTGAACAGCATTGCTATTAGGTTTTATTTAGACGGGATATAGCACCGTTCACCCATCAGTCAAGGAAACCACAACACGTATTCACCGGCCTCTTGAGTGATGACGGATGAGCGGCGCAACATTCTAAGTGAGAGCTAGTCACACAACTGCTCGTGGCCGAATGGTTAAATACTCAACCACTGGTCGGAAGATTACAGGTTCAAAACTTCCTTGAATGGTTAAATACTCAACCACTGGTCGGAACTTCCTTCCGTTTCTCGAGATGAGCACTGATGATATTTCAAATTAGGATGAAGCAGCCGAACACTCATTCTCGGCTATTCAACATAGAATGATCCTAGTGACAGAACGAAATCCCAATGTCGTCTAGGAAACCTCCGACCATTGGGATACTGTTAAGCACAGATGAGGTCATATTCCTTAATTGCTAGCGCCCATTAAATGTCTACATAGCCAAAGGCTCCAAAGACTTTAGTTTGGGTAGGCCTAGTGGTCAAGTCTCGAACTTACTGACTGGGAGATCAGTGGTTCGAACCCGAACCAGCGCATATCGACTGCTTCTCTCGGTAGATTTGAGCAACCTAGCAGCATCTCAGCGCTCGTGTTTCTCCTGGGTGACAAGGCAGCTACCCACCGAAAAGGTATCACAGAAGAACGATTATTATCAATAATTCATCCAAGTGTCCAGTGTCCAAAATACAATATTTTGGAACAAATAAAGGACGGCGAAAAACTGGAGTGTATTTGACCCACATTGTTGCAAACGACCGCTTGTAACCGCATGGTTATCTACTCAAGCCCCCAGCCGGGATGTCGTCAGTTCGAGATTTGCGCCGCTTCTCGACTTTTCAACAGTCTGGCCCCACTGACAGGACGAAATAGCAATTGGCAATTACAAAACCATACGCTGCAGTGAACAAGCTATTTTATTCGCTCCACAAGTTTCACTAATTTCTGGAAAATTCTCATTGAGGACGGGCCAAATGGCAGTTTAAAGCGATGGCCGGTGACATGGCTGCTCATCAGATGAGTGGAAGCTGGCCTCACGTCAAGAGGTGGTCAACATTAGGATAGGAACTGTCAAATGATAAAGACAGTTGATTACCCTTGCGACTTTCTCCAGGACGTCTGTGAGCGTGTTGAATTCCTGGAACACAATTGCCTCAGTTCAGTGGTTATAACGGAAATTATCAACTGCCACATCATCAGTACCGTTCCCATCATCTCAAGCTACCAAATGAGACGTCTCCAGGTAACATTGCCAAGCAGAAAGGGTACATGTGTACTTACAACTGGTCATCGGATTCGAACACACGGTCACGATAGTCAAAACGGTAAGGTCATTCGATTCGAACGACCCAAGACAGCAGTCGCGTAACCAGTAATCTGGTTGAGGAAATTTGAGGGAAATGGTCAGTACATCAGAACAGCTATTTTACAATCAGAACAGCTGAAGGCTATATGCGAAAAAAATCGTTCAGCTGTAACACCTTTTCGGTGCCTAACTGCCAAATCATCCAAAGGAAGTACAAGGTTGCTCAAGCCTAGACAGGGGAAGTTGAGAGGCAGAGGTCGGGTTCTAACCACGGACCTCCCGGTCAGTAAATTAGCGCTGTAACCACTTGAGTCATCTCACCCAAAGGCTATATGTATCTCAGGATTAGGAGGGGATGAGAGTTGGCTCAAATCTGTCTCGGGATAACTCGATGGTTAAGGCGCGAACTTACTGACCGAGAGGCTCGCAGGTCGAACTCAACCTCGGCATCCGGACTGCTTGTGTTTAGGATAGAGAAATCTGGCAGCACCTCAGTCCTCGTGCTTCTTTCGGATAGCACGGCAGCTATGCACTGGGTGTTATAATCGAACAAATATTACTTTTTAGACAAAATTAGCAGTGTTTGAATCGGTCTCTACGTGGGGAAGTGGAGTTTACATGTGTCTTGTGGGAGGTGGACCATAGCACTATAGGGGGCCAACTATGCGAAGCATTATTGCGTCTTGAATGGAAGATCAGCAGTGAGTTGAGTGAAGTCGTACCTGTGGTGAGATCACTCAGTGTTAGTATGCGGTGCTAGTGAAATAGAATAAAATACTCTGGATGGTTTCACGTTCTTGAAAGCAGTACACTATCAACAGACAACTGACGCTGCCATTCAGGCTAGTCTCACTGTCCCATACGTTCATTTCGATTTTGGGGTACTTTTTCCAAAGCAAACGAGAGTACAGAAGCGATGGTTGCTTTTTCAAACTGTCGTGACCTCTTATCGTCATTTGTACTTTGATCAGGCAACAGCGTCAGTTGTGTACGTAATATATCACGTTACGCAAAGGTTTTCAAATGTTGTTCACTGAGGTAGTGAGTTCTAAACTGTGAGCAAGCCGCTACGTGTAGGGGCACTTGCCTGTTCTCACGGGAGACATTCGAGCAGCTAACGAAAGTCTAATCAAACACATGGATGCTAATGAGTCTGAGTTGTTAACCTGAAACTCTTTCGATGCCAGCCATTATGCTCCCCGAAGGAAACACAGGGGGTGCCAGGTTGCACAAGCCTAGACAGGAGTAGTCGATATGCCGGATGGACCTCCCGGTCAGCAAATTCGCGCCCTGACCCGAGCTCATGCACACTAATACTCCACGGTGTACCAGTCCTGAGAATGGGAATCACGAAAAGAAAGACTCCGGATTCAAGCTGTAATTTCAAAGGAAACCATTTCAAGGCGGCCAGTCGAATGACAGCCGTTCGAAAGTCTCAACTGAAGAGGGTCAGATAGAAACATTCGGTGACCAGGGAAGTCCAAGCGATCGAAATTGGATGGCGTAAACAGGAACAGCAAAGTGAGTAACACAAAAGCTGACCGAATGAAGGGAACACAGAACGGAACAGAACAGAACAGATGAGTGGCCATTGAACAGGAACAGTGAATGAGTGTGCTACAACACTATGATCTATTTTGCCAGTTTAAGAGAGCACGATACGTGTGCGCGTGCGTGTGTTTAGGTGTGAAGGTATCACAAGCGGCTGAAGAGATATGCAGTCTAGGTCAGTCGTATGACATGCGTACGACACTGGGGAGTACGAAGCTACACACGGAAGTACGCACGCTTGCACATAGGTGCGTTCGGTGCATGCGCGCAAGGTTGGTCACATGATCGGGAACGCAGGATGACCAAGAAAGCTTGCGCACAGCCGGTTGGACAAAAACCGGAGCAAATGGACAGCAGCGGATGCATAAAGCCCAGAAGAAAGAAACTAGCAACAACAATGAACAGCGCCGTTGCTGCTGCCTTGTGACAATGAATGAATGAATGGAGGGAGGGCGTGGATACTTTCAGAACAGCACATCTGGTACAGCGAAAGGGCAAGGGGAAGGAAAACTCATCCAAAAACGCCACCATAGATCATAGTGACAGTACGTGAACACGTGCAGACGACCCTCTGGAAAGTGGTTATCCGTAATCACGATAAAAGAAACATGAGTATGCAACTCTGCATTGTCAAAAAGTCACAACTAGTTGGTACAGGATGTCGTTGTGAAAATGTCGGAATCCAGTGGCAAAGAAAGGGAATTTGAAATGCATGGACATACATGGTTGGCACAAAGAGTAGGGTGATGATATCACACGCAAACACACACAAACACAAACACGGACCTCTCCCTCAGTTGAAAAGAGGATGATTTATTTGTCCGGAAATCAACGAAAAGACTAGCTAGCCATCGGCCTGAGGAGGAGTGTACCAGCCACTCTTTGAATGGATCTGAACGAGACCTCGGTAGGAGAGTTGAGCGCGGCGTAGTGAATACTGACTCTGAAATTTGGAGGAACAAAGACAATCCCCATAAATGAATAGTCTATCAGGTGTTTAGACCTAAAAAGAGCCAGGAGTGAAATAAGGGACATCATTCACAGTACTAATCTGCTACGCAAAGACTTGATTTCGATGCACCTGTTCAGGGTTGTAAACAAAAGCAAGTTACACCAAACATTCTCAATCGCTCTTCAGAAGCTCACTGCACCAATAGATACATGGAACCCAAATAAGTTTGAGCATTTCTCCAGATGTGCCATATATATGCTACACAGGAAGAGGCGTTTAGTTTTGTAACGAACATAACACCAACAAACGATCGGGAGGGATCTCTTAAATGTGGGGGGTTCACGCCGGAGAAGACCGATCGGGAGTGATCTCTTAAATGTGGGGGTTCACGACAAGAGAAGACCTATATATTGACGCGTTATAAAAAGTTGGGCATTTTCATCTTTCGACAGCACTTTCAAACATCCGTTTTAACAGAGACTGTGACAGGATCCGCTGGGATTTTTGTCCCTAAAATGCAACTTTTTGCTTAAGATTCCAAGTAATAAAACAACATGCTTTGTGCTGTGTGTATAAGTCCAGTAGGTGCTTTCACATCCTCTGGGGCTGCATATTACATAATGTGGTCGCGAAAACATCGGCGCGTTAACTTGTAACCAGTTTTGCTCTTCTCAGCTCAAACTAGATGGTGTATATTAGCATATGCGCAAACAGTATGAGAAGCTCCTAGAGTACAAACTTTGAAAGTACTGTGGACTAACATAGATCGTCGCAAACGGATCGACAGTATTTCACAAGCAGCCTGAGTAATAGCTGACGGAAAGACGGTGGCTTCGATGAGAACTGCGCTGCGCTGGTATACTGGAACACGAAAACAACTGCTCGAGGATAACAGTGTTAAGCAACAAAGAATGACGATTCTGAATTCTTATCACGATACTCAAAGCAACGGATGCTGTGGACCATGGTTTGTCTTCCTAGACCTAATGAAGGTTCCTTCAGAGAAGTACATATTACACTGAAACGGAGATAGAAGGGTGATTTGGATGACGATGGGTACTTTTGCCCCGTTATCCCGTTCTCTCACCTCAGATAGNCATGTCTAAAGACTAACTTTTAGTTCCATCTAGATTGTGTGAGTGCGGTTGGACGCAAGGGTACACCAGAATGACTGCCCTCCCCCGTTCACTATTGTATGTCAGAAAAATTACAGTTAAAACGCTAGGGCTGATGTGTACCACAAGCGCGACGATCACAGGTACGCGTGCATGACGGGTCACTTTTGATCGACGGTGTTTTTTTGCGCTGGCCTATCACAGAGCGCCGCAAAGAATCAACTAGTGGACTGTTGGTCTACATGGCACGACTTCATAAATCAACAAATTCGCAATTACTAGTAAACAGACAGAGGTCTGGAGGACCCACTGAAACTTCAGCTACACACAGCAAGAGCCATAGGCCATAGCTTTGCACGGAGAAAATGGACGTCCATCTCGTCCTGGCCTAGTAACGGTGGTGTGGAAATCAACATGTGGCAAAAGACAGCATCAGTGCAGTTAAACCTCCTCGTTCAACAAATGGCCCTTGTCTGGTAACTTGAATTTTGCTGGTTGATTTGTTTTCACCTGACGCACAAACCTGAAGATGAGATAATGAACGTGTTTGTACCAAATCAATCCCTGGGAACAGTCTGTCAATCTGACTGTTGGTTCGTGCAATCACTTGGTAAGGTATTCGTGGCCAAATAGTTAAGTGTTCAAACTACATTCGAGACGCCACACTGGAGTTTCCTGAGATGCGTTCTGTTGATGATTGACAGTAAGGATGAAACAGCTATACAGTGCTCTCGGCTTCTTAGCACTACCGATCAGTCCCACGAAGAGTGGAAATCGCCATCAGCGTTTCGCTCTTTTGGTATCGAAGAAAGACACTTCAAACGAGAATGATGTGCGCACGGATATTACAACCCCCAGACCATTCAAGGTAATTAATGAGCAGGCTCGGTCGAGAAAGTGCGAGTAAACTCATTTAGTTACTGGAGTTGTGTGAACTCGCATGACCATACTGGAGACAAGGAATGAGTTGTCATAGTCAGATTTAATAATAATAATAATAATAATAATAATAATAATAATAATAAT